CACACATTTACGAGGAGTAGAAAGTTGCACAAAATGTGTTCCTGAGAGAGATTCACAACATGGACCCTTTTAAAAAAAACCACCCAATACATATTATTTAAGCACTCTATTGTTTTATGGATTTTTCAGGGTATAATAAACAGAAATTCATAAATACCTCAGACAGTTTACGCATTCCTATTGGTCGAGAACCCGTCACGTGGCCGGTCTTAAACGGATGATAAAGACATGGCTACGGTAGCTGGTCTTAAACGCTTTTCCGGTGTCACATGAAATTTGGACTCCTATGAAATCCAGTGCCTTTTAATGTTTCATTGGTTGAACGTTAACATTCCTCGTGTATGCATGCGCAATGTACTACCAGTGAATCAGTATTTCATGGTCCAAAATTCACACTTCACCAGCCCAGCTGCGTTTTGCGCGACATCGCGCAGTACGCGCGACGCGCACGCCAGTGTCCCTATTAGGTAACGAGTTGTGGAGGGGCATTCCATATTATAGTCAGAGGGGTGTTTCGTAAAACATGATGTAAAATTGTTGAACAAAATGGTTGGCAACGTCTAGCTTTTGACATTTCTTTTTTATTTTGGACCGAAAAGGTATTTATGAATGGGAATAAATGTGTGTTCGGTCGGTATTAAACACTCTGTTTAAGACCGGTTTGAGTCTGGATGGGCGATAATTACCCGAGGCGAAGCCGAGGGTAATTATCGCCCATCCAGACTCCCACCGGTCTTAAACAGAGTGTTATGATACCTCCCAAACACACATTTATTCCCTTAGTAATACAATATACCGGTAGTATTATCAACGGTTACATTTAAAGGGAATGTACATCATTGGCTTTTGCTGTAATTTTCAGAAATGAACTATTTGAGAGGTTAGTATAATAGATCAAATATTGTTACACTGACATTTTTTAAGTTTGGTGTTCGAAAAGGTTGGGAAAACCAAGAAAAACAAAAATGCTCAAGTAGTCTGGTTCCCTGACTCCACAAAAGATAAAATGGATCAATTTATAGATGATGGAAAATTGTAAGGCAAGGGAACCAGTCTAGCTGGCCTGCACCCGTTCATCATGAACATGTAACCAATAGCAAACAAAATTTGGACTGAAAAAATGGTAAATTTGGAGCAGTAGTTGAAAAATAGTTAGGTTTTTCCAACGCTGGTCGGCCGACCACCATTGGAAATGTTTACAAAAATACCATTTTCTTGAAAAAGACTTCACACCAAGTGCCATAATTTTACAAGATGCTTGAGACTGTCATTTACCAACATCCTACAATGTAGTAAGGTATTTCGTAAAAACTTGGTAGTTTTATTTTTCGATGTTTGCAAATGTTGTATATTCCCTTTAACAGCCGGCCGGAACAGCCACTCCCCTTCCATTTTGAGGAAAATGACTTGTCGCGTTTGTTTTGGCATACCGTAATCGATGTTTAAAAACTATGTACATGTATGGTACATCCTCAACCTGTATACACATTGAAACTGGAAGTTGCACATATACTGTACATGTAGGCGTAGTATGTCTACTCTTTTGGGAAGTGATCGCAAATTTGTGGTCCTGCTTTGTCAACATCACTTCAGAAAAGATAAACACCGCTTTGGTTTCACAGGATACCGAAACTTTCCAATTGGATAGGAATCTAAATGGGTTTGTTTTTTTTTTCGTCGGACTTGTTTGGTTTGGTGTTGCTACTTTTTATTATTATTTCATAAACTGTTTATTTTTTTGCCTTATGGTCCTCTTTCACTTTCAAATGTTGAAACGTGTGCCCCTTTTTAGGTAAAAAAAAAGAAGACACATGGTGTAATTGATGGCTTCCGAGTCAACAAGCATTGGACATGGTTTGTAACGAGTGCTCGGCGTAGTCCAGGGGAGTTTTGCTTCTTCAGAAAGTTCAGATATAATATATGACAAAAAGTAAGACTGCTGCAAACTGCTTACTGATATAATATATGGCTAAAACTTTTCAACTGTCCAAGATTTGGAAATTTAAAGCAAACAGACAAACAACTAAACCAAACAAACACAACAACAAAAACTCCGAAAAAAAACAACAAATATTAAGAAAAATCCTTCTCCCAACAATAATCAATCATTCAAGTCGCTGAACAAGAAAGAAAAAAATCTTTGTTTAAATGTGATTATCCATTTGAAAAATAGTTTAAAATGTTCACTTTTTTTCAAATTCAAAGCTAAAGAATAACAACAAATAAATGTAACAAACTGTTCGTGTTTACTTTATTGTCTTCTGAAATTGTGTTTAACTTTGTTTACATGGTTGTGCAAAAAGAAATAAACCCACTTTTGACAGCAATATTCACCTACCGGTACTTGTTTAGCATATTTCAAAAATTCAATTTAATGGGATTAAAATATTGATTTTTAAACATAAATGACAAAGAAATGATTGCAAAATTTTGTCTCTGAGAAATGGTAGTTTAAATAGTCATGTGCTAAACCTATTTGTCCATGGTAGGGCTGTGCATCGGAATCGGGTACCCGAGTACCCGACCGTTAATGTCAGGAACCAGTTTCCAATTGGGTCATTCTATAAATTTGGGGTCCAAAGTGTGACATTTTTCCCCGTCCCTGTTACCTTGGTACTTTGTAATTTGCCATTCAAGCATCATTAAGAATGACTTCAAATGATTGTTTATTTGTTGGGTAGGTAGTTTGCTATTCATAATCACTCTTGGAGGATGTCTGCATTAAGGAGTGCATCAGAATTATACAATCATAGATGTCAGATGTAACAGGGACGGGGAAAAAAGTGGACCCCAAATTTATAGAATGACCCAATTATGGAAGAGTACCTGTCACCAACTTTGCAAATTACTTAGTAACTTCTCAGTAAAATGAAAAAGAAATGATTCTAATGTCAGTGGGAAAATTTCAAAATGAAAAACAGGACACACAGAAAAACAATGTCATGTTTTATGATGCTCGGGAAAGCTGCAGCTTTTACCACATGTAGCTGAAGAGCTCACTGCACCCTATCTAGCCGTATCACTGCACCGATGTGGTAGAATTATCGTGCCGACCTTTATGAATAATCTGAACAGCAACTTCCCATATTTGAATTTTTGGCTGGGTTTTCTTTATGCTGGGTTCCCCCATTCCCGAATTAGTTGTGAATACAGCAAGAACCCAGGAATTGAAATTGGTTCCCGAATCACCCCCGACAGTTTTGAACATACATTCAAATTTGTCGGGGTGCTTCCCGATCTTTAATGATCTTTCACCGAAAAAAACAGAATCATCCCGAGGCAGCCAAGAACCATCCCCGATATACATGTACTCAAGAATTGCTATTCGTGGTGATTCAGCTTAAAAATCAGGAATATGTGAACCTAACATTAACGGGTACCCGTATTTTTTCAATAGGGTACCGGTACCTCGTTCCTGTATTACCTGTGAATGCACACCATAGTCTATGGACGGCTTTATTCATTCTTGACTGAGATCCGGAGCTTGATTTGAAGACAAAAAAACACCACACTTAGGCCAAAAAAAAAGTCTCCGGTTTCTGGTATGCGCGCGCGTCGCCGTAGCCATGCGCGTCGCAAAATGAAAAAGTTTTTTTTTCAATGAAAGATGATGTCTCAAAACCGCCAAACTCACTGGTTTGACTGGAATCCTGCTGCTGCACAATTTTAACGTGTTTTTAGATTGGGTTATGGTCGAGAATAAGCTTTATGTTGCCTCTCTGGACTCCCATTTGCACTAAGTATTAGTCGGGCACCATTTGCAGTCATCAGCCGGCATTTGAAGCAAAAAAATCAGGTAAAAAAAAAAAAAGCCGCGTCGCCGCACCACTTTTTGGGCAAGCTCCATACCAGAAACCGGAGACTTTTTTTTGTTGGCCTTAGACTTACACGTTGACAACAGTGATTTTGGTGACTTGTATTCAAATGAGCATAATAACACTATTCTTGCGATTTTTTTTATAAAGATTTTTTTCACCACGTACAGTTGAAGAGCTAAATCCTTTACTACAATGTTATACAAACAAACAAAAACAGTTCAAATAAGTTAGGTAGGTAGGTTAAAAATTCCTGTCAAAAGTGGGTTTCCTTCTTTTTGCACCACCCTGTATGTAACACCCATCAAAACTGACCATGAGCAGCCAAAGTGTATCAATTGCAACAAAAGTGTAGCATTTGACGAACAGTAGAATGTTCAACGCAGCTTACAGTTTGTTGGTTGGTCAGACTATCATCAGTAAGGTCAGTAGTGGATCTAAATGGGAGGGAGGGGTTGTGGGATTATGGGGTTGTGGGGGGTTTGGTTGTGGGGGAGTGGGGGGGTCGCAACCCCCATTCAGCTGCTGACTTTAATATGTTATGAAACAAGTCACATGGGGCCCAAAATAATAATCGGAATGCTGAAGTTCCTAAATATATCAGTCCTTCTGATTTGAGGCGTGTGATCGCACTCCCACGCCATCGCACGCCTAAAAGCTTCCCGAGAGGTGTGAATATAATTGCACGCCTGAATTTCCCTGGACTACAGAATCACACACCGAGAAAATGACACACCTTGAAAAACCACACGCCTGGAAAAAATCCAGGTGTGCCTTTTACCACATGCCTGTGATTTTCAAACCAGGACTGAATATTCTCAAATTGCCTTAGAATGCAGGACAAATGAAGGGTTACACCGCTATGTTCCGACACCCCTATGTTCCGACTGCACATATTCCTATTCCTTACCCTAACCCTAACCCTAACCCTAACCCTAACCCTAACCCTAACCCTAACCGGGAGTAACACAATCTAGGTTGTCGGAACATTGGGGTGTCGGAACATAGAGCAGTCACCAAATGAAGCATAGTAGATTTCAAAATTGTCCAGGGGGCAAGCCCCGTACCCCCTAGCAAGCCGTGCTTCACCGATCCCCTCCCCCCTCCCCACCACCTTCATATCAACCCCCCCCCCCTTTTTTTTTTCTGAAAGCTAGATCCGCCCCTGGAGGTTAATAATCCTACCTGAAAGAGCTTGCGGACAGGCATTGAACGTAAAGACTGCTGGCTGGTCGGATGCACTGTTGGCAACCGGTGACGTGGCATGGGTACCGGGCATCGTTGGGCTGCGAACGGTGGCCGGGCCCACGTGGAACCCCGCCGGTTGCCTCGGAGGGAATCGGCCGTTGCTCGCCAGGCCGAAGTCCCATATGAGCGCATGGGGCTGGAAGGCAACTGCTGCCGTAGGGCTGAGCTGGTAAGCAGTTGGCGAAACTGTCTTTTCCATGGCGATTGGCGATGCAATCCTGGAACGGTCTTCAGTCAAATTGGATGTCTGCAAGAAGAGCACACTCACAGTAATATATACAATGCATGCAAACAGATTATGTGGTACCCCATTCAGTGGCTTTCTACGCTTAAACCATCTGTAAGGTCTCTCTTAAAGAGGTTGTGGAATGCTTGAAGACATTTCCGTCATTTTTCGGGTATATGTAGCCTAAGGTGTGATGAAATAAAAACGACTATTGTTTCTGTCATGAAATGACCACAAAGGGTACTTTTAAGAGCTATTTTTCAGGTCCTGTTTCGACCCGAACATGCAATTTGTGTAAAAGTCGTCGTTGCGGGCAGCAAACAAATCACAGTAAATTGTGACGTAATAAACAGGACTCCCGATGCAGAGTAGCATAAACGAGTCCTGTTTATTACGTCACGATTTACTGTGTTTTGTTTGCTGCCCGCAACGACGACTTTTACACAAATTGCACGTTCGGGTCGAAACAGGACCTAAAAAATAGCTCTCAAAAGTACCCTTTGTACTCATTTCATGACAGAAAAAATAGTCATTTTTATTTCATCACACCTTAGGCTACATATACCCGAAAGATGACGGAAATGTCTTCGAGCATTCCACAACCTCTTTAAGTGTGATTTTAAGTCAAAAAACTTGTTTTTTGGCTAAATCATTGATTTTTGATAGTCATGGCACCTTGTTTTAATGCAAAATGTGGTTGAGAGTTTTTGTGTTTATGGCAGAGAGAAAAGTTCATATTATTAGAAAAAGAGTTTCATTATGTTGCAGTTCATCAAACTCAGAGTTTATACCGTGTTAGAAACCATGAAGAGGAAGTAACGTGAGTGACGTAACGTGAGTGACGGTACCTTCATGTAATCTAATGTCACTTGCATCTAAAATACACACTTATTTGATTCAAATGGGTTTGCTCTATCGGTTGAATGAAAGGTGAAATAATGCAATTGTTGCAGACTACAGTTTGAGGAGACTTTAAAGGGAATGTACATCATTGGCTTTTGCTGTAATTTTCAGAAATGAACTATTTGAGGGGTTAGTATAATAGATCAAATATTGTTTAAACTGACATGTTTGAAGTCTTGTGTTCAAAAATGCTTGAAAAACCAAGAAAAACAAAATTGTTTATAGATGTCGGAAAATTGTAAGGTAAGGGAACCAGTCCAGCTGGCCTGCACCCGTTTAAGAACATGCAACCAATAGCAAACACAATTAGGACTGAAAAAAATTGTAAAGTTGGAGCAGTAGTGAAAAATAGTTAGGTTTTTCCAACGGTGGTCGGCAGACCATCGTTGGAAATGTACAAAAAAATACCATTTTCTTGAAAATTACTTCACACCAGGTGCCATAATTTAACAGGATGCTTTAGACTGTCATTTACCAACATCCTACATGTAGTAAGGTATTTCATAAAAACTTGGTAGTTTTATTTTTCGATGTTTGCAAATGTTGTAATTTCCCTTTAACACCGAAATTGCAGGACGATTTTCCGTGTCTTTTTTTTTGGTAACGTGAGTGACGACCAACAAAACACATGTTTTCAAAAACTGAATGAATGGATTGAAATGTTCTTTCCATTTTTGAGTTACCCCTTACCCCAAGGTTGTTGTATGGCTGGTTTGATTCAGCTTGATCAAATACTTTTGAGGCAGTGAGAGGTCAAAGTAGCCTCATGGCATGTAAATGTAACGTGAGTGACGATGGAATTGCCCAACTGCGTATTTTACGCAACCAAGCACGCATTGCGCAGTGTTGAGAATGTTCCAAACTCATGCGCTTGTCGCTCGAAATGTGTTCAAAATACCACGCAGCCGATGCGCGTTATATGCAAGTTGACGCTCAAAATGCCGATGCACGTGGCTGGTCTGCATGGAAATGACGTCATTTTGAGAGAGACCTATTATCAGAAATTGAGAGGACTTTTTATATCATTTGAAAATGATGCTGATCAAGAGCTGTTATAGAAAACTTTATAAACAATTGAAAAGCTCAGTGAACTGGCCCAATTAAAATCACAAAAAAAGACTACTTTTTTTCATGCAAATGGAAGGATCAAAATTCATAAAAATTTGAGCTCCGTATCAGAAACTGTATTTTCATTGTATCAAATTTGATATTAAAACTTGGCAAGGGAACAGTAAATTTCTGCCATTTTTTTTTTTTTTACACTTTTTAGAATGGCTTTTCTCCCACTGGCTGTATACAGTCCATTCAGCTTATACACCTGTGTATACCTTTTGTCATTATTTAATAAGGGTGATTATGGACAGAACAAATAAACATAACTGGGAACACAGAGGGGGATTCCCCTGTGTGAGCACCTGCTAAGACTCTTCCATTACCTCAGGAGGGGGAAGCGGAATTCAAAAGACTCAGGACTGTACCATACGGAAGTAGGGGGTGTGGCTCCTACTTGAAGAGCAGTTGAACTTGTTAAAGGGAATGTACATCATTGGGTTTTGCTGTAAATTTCAGAAATGAACTAGGCCTATATGAGGAGTTAGTTTTAGATCAAATATTGTTACACTGACAAGTTTAAAGGTTTGTGTTCGAAAATGCTGGAAAACCAAGAAAAACAATATATGTTGAAGTAGTCTGGTTCTCTGACTCCACTAAAATGAAATGAATCAATTTATAGATGCCAGATTGTAAGGTAAGGAAACCAACCTAGCTGGCCTGCACCTGTTCATGAACATGTAACCAATAGCAAACAAAATTTGGACTGAAAAAAAATAGTAATTTTGGAACATTAGTTGAAAAATAGTTAGGTTTTTCCAACGGTGGTCGGCCGACCACCGTTGGAAATTTATACAAAATACCACTTTTCTTGAAAATGACTTCACAGCAGGTGGCGTAATTTTACAGGATGCTTTAGACTGTCCGTACCAAAATCCTAGTAAGGTATTTCGTAAAAATTTTGTATATTCCCTTTTAGGTCTCAGAGAAATTATATTACAACTGAATTTGAATTTTGAAATAATGATCCTCTCAAATGCTATTTTGCCGAGAAACAATAAGGTTCACTGAAAACATACAAAAGGGGGAGGAGGGGAAATACCCCACCCCTCCCCCAACTATCCTTTGAAAAAAAGAGGGGATAAAACCGAATACGCCTACTTTATAACCCGTGTCCTCGCCAACAACCGATCCTTCTTTGCAATTGCATGAAATCAATGAAAACGCACACAATGACATGCCATAAACCCCACAAGAACAAAATATACATTGTTAGATTTTCGGCTTAGTTAAAATGTGCAAAACAAACATCATCACAGTCATAGGCCTACTTCAAATACCAAATTTCCACAAACAACCTGTTGTGTCAGTATTAAATTACGATTAATTGATAAACTTTAAATTAAAAGATGCTACAAATTACAATTAGAATGGAATTTTAATTTTAATTTAAACACATTCAATACATTTGTTTGTCATGTTTGTATTTAAGCCGTTCTTACACAAATTTTGAAAAAAAAACCTTTTTTTTTCAATAATTGTAAGTAGTTTACAAACAAAATGTGCGCATCTTGAAAAAAATCGAGGGTAAAAACATTCAAAGATCACAGTAACAAAAATATGTAACCCACCAACCTTTTCACTTTTATTCTTGCAAATGCCCGCGATCTTGTCACCCACCGTGCGTACCGCTCAACGCTCCCCGAGAAAATAGCTCAAACCTCCCACGGTACTGTCCGACCGTGACGCGGTGACAAAAGATACAAAAATCCACCGCCACTGAGCATCACCCATTTGTTTATCTGATCGTTGATGACGGCAGATCGTGCCGATCTTTTCCTATGAAAGTTCCGCCTACTACCTACCCGATCACTTCCCCTGATCTTGGAACACCATTTACATGAATTATTGGCTGACATTCTGGCTATTTTTAGCGTTACAAAGAACCTGAATTCTCGGAAATGTGTACAAGAGCAACCGGCGCACCGCTAGCTAGCATCGATCGATCGTACACGCGCACGTGGGTCATGAGGTCATTCCAGGGATACCGGAAGTAAAATAACTTAAAGCAGCAACCGAGGTACAATATTTGAAATCGGTCTTTTCTTTCTGACACACAACGCTCAGTGCTTCAAAGACTATAGAAAGTACTGTTGAATACTTAAACCTTTATTATTTTCACTCGATGCATAACTTTCATTATTTAATGTGATGCATAAAGTCATCAAAGGCCCTTAAAAAATAACCTTTTCGATATTACAAACCAACCAGGCGATTTGTGCACAAATTACTGTCATTGTATTCCTCCGCATGATATTTTATGAAGAATTAAGTGATCGTCTTTTCACACATTGTTGCATTTGTATTTTTTTTTTTAATGTTAATCGCCTCATAACTTAAAGCTATAGTCCATCATTTGCAGCTATCCAAAAAAGTAACCGGCGTAATTATTGTTGAAAAACATACTGGTTGAAAGATAGTGAGGGGACTAAACTCCCTGTGAAATTATCCTTTCTGGCAAGCTCTCATTTTGAAGAAATCAACGAAAGAAGGCATTTCCAACGGTGCTTCTTAAGAAGCACCGTAGGAAAATTTAAATTAGTTGGTCGTTTTGTTATTCGGCGCAGCGCGCACAAGCATTGGAACGACGCACAGGCGCCCTCGGTTGCTATAATTCGTTGGATCAGTGCGCAACATCGCGTAAAGCTGCAATTCAAAACAATTCGAAACATGATTTAGCAACTTTTGATTTGAAATTGAGATCCTAGAATGCTGTTTTTCTCGGAATATGAAGCTGAAGCTGAGCTGAAACTTCATCAAGTAAGTTGTTCAGTATCCTTCATTAGATTTTGTTGCTTCAAACGAACAAAATGCGCTAATTACAAAGGATGGACTATAGCTTTAAGGCCAGAGGGCCACTCAAAGTGCGGGCTACAAAGGGAAGTACAGAAAAAAAGGTAAAGAGAGAGAGGAGAAATATCTATTCATTTTTTCTTTGAACAGGGATAGATTATTAGTTGGTGGAAAACAGGATTCAGATAAGGAGTTCCAAAGTGCAGCAGTACGAGGCACATACCGGTTCGTTAGTGTGACGTCACCTCCAGCACTTTCTGCATGATTGGAACCGGAAGTTAACGCAGCTCGAGCGTTTGCAGCCAATGGGCGCTAGTAATCAGTGGTGTACGCGCGTGTATGACGTTTTTACTAACGAACCGGTATCGACAGCGCGTACAGTCCGACAGACGCGCATTCTGGGCGGCGAATGGGGCGGCGCCAGTTTGTTTAGCGCGTGGGGCAACAGTTTCAAGTACGCGCACCTTTATTTCCGTTGGCTTACAATGCAAAAGTGTATTTTTATGTCCGTAAAAGTATTTTTTTTTAATGTTTGACCTGTATTAGTTATTTCCCCAACAAAATTCGAAATGGGTTATCAAGCTGGATATTCGATGTTTCGAAGTTTGATCCAGTTTTGTATTTAGTTATCGTTTTAAAATGCTGGTGCGCGTTGCTAAGGGAATAAATGTGTGCTTCGGAGGTTTGTATCACTCTGTTTAAGACCACTTAGAGTCTGGGTGCTGATAATTACCCGAGCCGGAGGCGAGGGTAATTATCAACACCCAGACTCTAAGTGGTCTTAAACAGAGTGATAAATACCGACGGAGCACATATTTATTCCCATTCATAAATACCTTTTCGCTAAGAAAAAATCATATAATTCGTTCAAAACATCCCGATTTTGTTCAACAAATTCACTTTATGCTTTTTGAAACATCCCTCTTGCAAAATAATGGAGTGTTCAGCTGGCGAGTAAGATGTAAACAACCCTTTTATGGAGATTGACGCGCGCGTCAGAACGCACTGGCGCGTTGCGTTTTGAATTTAGAACTTTAAAATTCTGACTCCCTGGTAGTGTTGCGCATGCCTACGTGAGGATTGTGAACGTTCAACCAATGAAACGATAAGAGGCACTGGATTTTTAGGAGTCCACATTTTGTTGTGACACTGGAAAAGTGTTTAAGACCAGCTAGCCATGTCTTTATCATCCGTTTAAGACCGGCCACGTGACGGGCTCTCGACCAATAGGAATGCGTAAACTGTCTTAGGTATTTATGAATAATAATTAAGCACATTGAGTCCAGTTGTTTTAAGTAATATTTGTTTAAGAATTTCAACAGTGTACAGGACTGTATAAGCCCCTATCATTCATCAACGTACAGAATGATGATATTTCAAAGAGTTTTGTTTTTCTTCGTTGTGTTGTCCTTAAAATTCACGACATGAATTGAAGTTTATGATGCCCGCACTATGTTGAAGAAATCTGTATTTTGAAGGGACAACACCCAGAACTTTTTTTCCCATTCTCCCTCTAAGACATGACCTACGCCGTTATCAGATGCTATTCATGTTGGATACTTGGGGGAACGCACGCCCCCTCCCCTCCCCGTCCCCCACCACCAACAAAAAAAAAGGCCAAATGAATTTGAGTTATTGTGCTCTCCTCCAGTGGCGTATCCATCTTTGAATATTTAAGAAGGCGTCAGAATCTCAAAATATTGAAGAGCATGAGCAATGCAGATCTAAACTGGAGGAGTAAAAAAAAATTTTGATCGATCTTACGGTTTACCCATCTCCTTTCCCAATGCACTCTAAAAACAACTTAGTCAAAATATTGACTGGTTTTCCCAGTTATTGGAAATTGACTAGGAATTTAGTTAAACATTGCAAAGTTTCATAATATGACTAGAAAAGTAGTTGGGTTGGACTCCAATTTCAGTTATTTGCAAAACTACTTTTCCAAAGTCAATAATACTGACTGGAAAAATCTAGTCAGATTGACTGATTTTCAGTTGCACCCAGCTGATCTGACCCTGAATGGCTAGTCAAATGTGACTGGTTTCTACTATGACTAATGCTTTTTTAGAGTGTGCGGGGCCATGGTTTTATTTGCCCGTTGCAAAACTAACTTTCGTCCCGTTTTTAACCCACTTTCACCGTGGCCGATTTTCTTTCTATCAGCCTCCCGCCATTAAAATGTCCATCCCATAGACCTTGTTCATGCTGCTACCATTTCAGACATGTTCCAAGTACCATCCGCAAAACTGAATGATAATGTTTTTGTGCAAAAAGGAACCAGACTATTTTTCCTTCCAGCCTCGCTTTGGTTACGTTGATTTGAATGGGGAAAATCCAAATGGCCGCAACATGATAATGGTCTATCTGCCCTCTCCACGATCCCCTAGCTCGCTCCCTGGCCCTGGTCACGCCACTGTCCACTGATCTTAGCGTCAATGCCGTGACTCCATATCCCCAATGCTTTCGAAATACAGCGTGTGTCAATAAAAACGCAGGATTCAAAGCGATTTTTTTTTCTGAGAAAATTATGCTACTGGTGTGCCTAATTTGATAAGGATTTGATTGTCCATAATTTCATCTTTGACAAGATTTTTGTTTGGTGGAATTTGGACTTTTGGTTCAAAAGTTATGACAAGTTTTGTGAAGCTCTTCTGAAGCGGGTTGGTCTGATTCAATGACCTTAACACAACGACCAGTTATGTGCAATGCAGGTATGCATTGAAGACAATTAAACCAGAACAAAACTTTCTTTGAAACAACTGATGATAAGTATCACTTAAATTTAATAACTGGACTATCATTGTTTCAAAGCATCATGAATTATTGACTAATAACATTGATTGTGGACTAAAGGATTATGTAAGCCTAATCCTGCCACACATGTCCTTCTTTGTGATCCACAAAATACTTTCACCTGTACTGAATTCAAACCTTTCATTAGGTATGTGTGATTTCACAAATCAGACCAGCTTGGTATTTATAACCCTTCTTCAATGTACTCTATCTCTGGACAGGATTGTCCAAATGAGATGGGATGAAAAGCATAGTGAAGAGAGGGAAAGGTACTTTGAAAAGAGGGTTAACATTATGATGAATAGGGGTGGTTTATATTCTTAATATTTTTGTTTCTAATCCTGCGTTTTTATTGACACACGCTGTATGCACAACAAACACCTCCCTCTCCCCCTCTCCCCTCCGTCCATACCCACCCCCTCCAAAAAAAAAATGAAAATCGAATCCGCCAGTGCATTCAATAGGAAACTTCTAGGAGTGTAATTGACTTCAGGATCAACGCAACTTATAATTGTCAGGCTTATTATTGAAAGCCACATTTGAAAAGTTTTACTCCGAGTAAAGTATTCTCCTCCTCCAAAAAGGATAATATTGGGAAAGTTTTCAATTTGGACCCCTGCGTGTGACCCGGTTTGACCTTAGTTGACCCCTGAAAAGAAACGAAGGGGTAGGTATTAGGTGAACAAAATGTTTTGGGGCCTTTTATATACTTTAATAGATTTAAAAAAAAAAAAAAAAGGCTTTGGACTTCTGCCAAGAAGGAGACTATAAGAACCTTATATGAAGGGTTTTGGGCCCATTTCCCCACCGTCTACTGGCGCCCCTAACTTCTTCACGGTGCGGCGCAGTAACCTCGTTATGTGCTTGTTCAGGGGTACGCCAATCACATGATGATATTTATTCCCTTATTAAAACTGGGGTATTAAGGAATGTTAGGGATGAGCACTTTTCCGTATATATTACATGTTTGTCCACTCATGGAGTTATTTTAAACATTATTTCATGCACATTTGTTTCCCGGATAAAATGTGCATGTCTGTGTGTCTAATAAATCATAAGAGCAAGCCGCATCATATCATAAATCTACCTAATTTCTTTCCTTTAAGGTGAAGTATTTTGTCTCACGAGAGGGCGTCCTTGCGAATTGCATCTTGGAAAATGGAAGACTTCATGGATGTGTGCGAAAATTCAACTAGAAGTAGAACAGCGAAGGCCTTTGAATGTTTGTAAATTGTCATGATTTGTTGTCATAAATTATTATGTATGTTTTTCCTTAATTATGTAACGTGATGTAGAAATGTGAGAACATAGACCTCACACCATCATTTGTGTGCACTAAGTAAATTCAGTCATTTGTTTTAATTGGTTTTGACTTCATTGAAATCGAAGACGTTGATTGGAAATGTGTGAGCTGTGCGAGCGCGGTATACCTCCATGTGTATACTTGGGCTACACGTGCACGTGTTGTGCAAAACAGAAATTTGATTTGACCATGGAGCTGTGTTAAAGGGAATGTACATCATTGGCTTTTGCTGTAATTTTCAGAAATGAACTATTTGAGAGGTTAGTATAATAGATCAAATATTGTTACACTGACATTTTTGAAGTTTTGTGTTCGAAAAGGTTGGAAAAACAAAGAAAAACAAAAATGTTCAAGTAGTCTGGTTCCCTGACTCCACAGAAGATAAAATGGATCAATTTATAGATGATGGAAAATTGTAAGGCTAGGGAACCAGTCTAGCTGGCCTGCACCCGTTCATGAACATGTAACCAATAGCAAACAAAATTTGGGCTGAAAAAATGGTAAATTTGGAGCAGAAGTTGAAAATAGTTAGGTTTTTCCAACGCTGGTCGGCCGACCACCGTTGGAAATGTATACAAAAATACCATTTTCTTGAAAATGACTTCACACCAGGTGCCATAATTTTACAAGATGCTTGAGACTGTCATTTACCAACATCCTAGTAAGGTATTTCGTAAAAACTTGGTAGTTTTATTTTTCGATGTTTGCAAATGTTGTATATTCCCCTTAAGAGCTCCATGATTTGACGCAGTTATGAAACCTTCTGCATAACTGGACTCCGTGGTACTGCTACATACAAGGCTCTTTCCGTTGTATAAGCGCTAATCATTACTCTCTGAATGTGGGGAAGAATTCCAGTAAAATTGTTGCAACCTGACTATTATACTTATAGTGAGTGACACTGACAGTGACATCGACAGTGACACCACTTTTTTCTTGATCATCATCTCAGTGAAGGTCAGACATTGCAAAAATGATATTATTAGTATTACATGAATCTGGGACTAAGTAAAAACCTTTCCAATTTTGTTAGGAAATACTTTGAAAATTTTCTTGACTCTCCATAGACTTTATACACAACCGCTGAAGTGGGGTCAGGTTGCAACATTTTTTTCCAAGCGCGCGATAACATGTCCAAGAAAGCCAAATTTAGCAGGGCAAATATATAATTGAAGCACTTACCGAGAAAACACTTGGGATTTTTTTAAACCAGTCTCATACACATTAGGCCAAAAAAAAAAAGTCTCCGGTTTCTGGTATGGAGCTTGCCCAAAAAGTGGTGCGGTGACGCGGCTTTTTTTTTTTTTTTACCTGACTTTTTTGCTTCATATGTCGTCTGATGACTGCAAATGGTGCCCGACTAAACTTAGTACAAAAAGGCCTATATGGGATTGGGAGTCCAGAGAGGCCACATAAAGCTTATTCTCGACCATAACTCCATCTAAAAACACGTTAAAATTGTGCAGCAGCAGGATTCCAGTCAAACCAGTGAATTTGGCGGTTTTGAGACATCATCTTTTATTGAAAAAAAACTTTTTCATTTTGCCGACGCGCATGGCTACAGCGACGCGCGCGCATACCAGAAACCGGAGACTTTTTTTTTTTGGCCTTACTAGTCATATGGTTTTTGCACAGGGTGTCGAGTGAACTCCAGGTGTGTCTTTCCGAATATGGCACTTTGGTACACTATATTTCTTCAAGGGTTAACATTTTTGCTAAGATGCAACCTCAATCCTTCAAAATCCTCCAACTGCCTCCATGTAAGAATTGCATACAGCCTCAATCCTGCAAAATGCTCTGTTGTGTCTCGAATGTGGCCCTTGGAGGGGCCACCACTGCCTCGATCCTGCAAAATCCTCCAGCAAGCACTGTCAATATGTTGAGGCAGAGGCCAGTGACATCCTGGAGCAGTGCAGGGGATTTCAAGCATAATCTAGACCTAAATTTATGCACGGCTGAGTATGAACAACAAAGGTCCGGCCCAAGACCGTGACACAGTGCACGTTCCAAAATCAGCTAAACACTTTTGCCATACATGTATAGCCTCAATCCTGCAAAATCCTCAAATTTTGCGAAGAGCATTTTGGAGGATTTGGGCACTAGCGGCAGTACTAACATCAGGCTAAGAAGTAGGAAAAGTTACTTGAGGAAATCGAAATTGGTACTGTTTTAAACTGCGAATAGCAGCTCAGCAAATGGTCGTGTCTCTCTGTGTGTTTGTTCGTTGGTTAGTTAGTAACAAACGTCAGCAACAGCCTTGCATGGCAATAAATCACCTCGTCCCTCAGGCAGGCCCTCTGTTGTTCACTTTAATGGGTCTTTACTAACCGCCTACCAATTTGTGCAGTCCTGGAAAATTGCCTCACTTACGGTATCTATAGGATAAAAAAAACCTGATGTTTGTACTTGCAGAAATTACACGGCACAATCATGTCACACATGCATGAACACAACGCATTTGTTCGCAGCTTCCGACATCATTTCGAGCTTGTTTTCATGTGCTACTTGTATTCACTGTCGGGACAAATTGAATTCTGTTTGTGTAGATGTCCGTGGTTAAGGCCAATAAAAACAATAAGTCGGTCTCTGGTCAGCGCGCGCGTCGATTTTAATATGCGCGTCAACCTTTTTTTTTTCCAAAATGTTCTGCGGTAGCTCCAACAGCGCCCTCTATTGACGCACCTCCTCATTTTTTTTTTACCAAAGAGCACCAAGGAATGGGAAATTGCACCAAGGCAAATGATCGAGGGCACCAAGGCAAATATGGAGGACACCAATGTACATGAGGACACCAAAAAAGCAAAATAGTACCCACCTTGTCTGTACAATCCAAGCTTGAAAAAAAAAAAGAAGCCGCGTCCCCGCGTCAATTCCGGAACTTTGGCCTGACCAGAGACCGATTTTTTTTGGGGGGGGGCCTAATCCTGTTATTTTCAGACGAAATTTTCAGACGCAGTTCCTCCCAAAATGACAGCATTGTCTCCAGGGCATAGGTCATGTACTACATTTGACACTGAGGAAAATACTGCAATCGGTTTTTTGGATGAACTCTCTGCTATAACTAGAGTGGACACTAGACATCTACAGGAACTAAATTCATGTTTTTTTTACCTGGTTATCAATCATGTAGGAAAAGTAAAGATATTGCAAAGTGAAGTGAGTAAAAAAACAAAACAATTTCCTGAAAACAACTTTCCGCACATGTTGCTATCACCGCTGCACGGCTCGCTATACGGAGGAAGTCCAGTATTTGAGCCACATTTTGGGGGCTAAAAGAAGTATACATACATTGTATGATGCAATGACCTGTTTTTGCGAATTTAGTTTTTGTCTAAGTCCAATTAAAATAAATTAAACAGTTTCTCGTCAGGACTGCCTTTTTGAAAAAAAATGAAGGGGGCTGTTTTTTTGTGTGTGTTTTTTGTTTCAAGTGCAATTGTTAGAAAAATGAATAAATACTATTTAAATTAATTATTTTTTTTTACCCCTAACCATCCCAAATCCTCCAAAATACTTTTTTGCAAATTGGAGGAATTTGCAAGATTGAGGTTACATGGCAAAAGTGCATTACTGGTTTCAGAGGACACACTGTGTCAAAGTCTTGGGCCGGACCCTGTGTTGTTTATGCTCAGCTAAGCATAAATTTAGTCCTTGATTATACTTGAAATCCTCTGCACTGCTCCAAGATGTCACTGCCTCTGCCTCAGCCTATTGACAGTCATAGCCAGAGGATTTTGCAGGATTCAGGCAGTGGTCACCCCTCCACGGACCATATTCAAAAAATAACGGAGGAATTTGCAGGATTGAGGCTATATGCTATTTTTCCACGAGGCCAATTCGAGGATTTTGCAGGATTGAGGCTACATCCTAGCAAAAATGCCCAGGGAGTTGGGGATAAATCTTGTGGTTATGATGAAGATGAAATGTACAGTAATTAACAGATGTCCGAGTTCATTTCATTATGTTTTGTTGGATTTAATTAAATTTTATTTGATTCATTGATTTATTTTCTACAGGAAAAAAAGAAAATCAAGGCAATAGTCGATAAACGTAAACCACTTTAATGGCCGGCATAGCCCTGAGGTTTCTACGATCAAGCGGAAATCTCATTGGTCGATTTGGAGCCTACTCCGCAATTCTGTACTGCACGGCACACTGCATCAGCGAGTATGCCTTGGACTTCACTAAGGTGAGAAGAAATGATCGTAATGCGTACGAGCATTACACATGAGGGCGGTATTTACAGTAGCCATGTGAAAGTAGAGGACCTAAGGCCAAAAAAAAAAAGTCTCCGGTTTCTGGTATGGAGCTTGCCCAAAAAGTGGTGCGGCGACGCACCACTTTTTTTTTACCTGAGTTTTTTGCTTCAAATGTCGGCTGATGACTGCAAATGGTGCCCGACTAAACTTAGCGCAAATATATGGGAGTCCAGAGAGGCCACATAAAGCTTATTCTCGACCATAACCCAATCTAAAAACACGTTAAAATTGTGCAGCAGCAGAATTCCAGTCAAACCAGTGAGTTTGGCGGTTTTGAGACATCATCTTTCATTGAAAAAAAAACTTTTTCATTTTGCCGACGCGCATGGCTACGGCGACGCGCGCGCATACCAGAAACCGGAGACTTTTTTTTTTTGGCCTTACCACATGAGTGCGGTATTTACAGTAGCCATGTGAAAGTAGAGGACCTAAAGTTTCAGGCCAGTAAAAAGGCCCAAAAATTGTTTATGCCAACCAAATTACGATTTGCATGCCCTCAACATTTTTTTTGCTTTTAAAAAATTTAAAGGGACACTTGGTCCCTGAACAGCCCAATTGGACTACAAAAGGCACTTTGAACGAGATGATGATAATCGAAAATAACATTTAAAAGTAGGATATAAACATCCACACAACTATCCTTTCAAAACTTGGCGTTTTTGTGTTATTCCTGTATTACGGGTGCGAGAACAAATTTCGGGGCTCACTTTTGCGACCCCATAAATTCGAACTGTTTGGATGCTAGTTGTGATTTCATTTGTAAAGTGTTCGCCTTTTGCGGACGTTGAAGAAACCACTTTTTTTTGCATTGATGGTGATTGGTCAACGCTGTTCCCGAGACACACAACGTGTATATCGTACACTGAGAACGACACGAAAAACGTTTTCTCGGGAACGGTAAGACATTACATGTATGTTGGTTTCCTTTCACCCAGATGTTTGAAATAGGATAAGTAAACAATCCAAAACATAAAATTTCCGGGGATTTCAGGACCTAGTGCCCCTTTCAAACAAAAGGGTGGAAGCCATGAACAGGACTGCGAAGTCATATTTTGGTGAAATTTGGTTGAAATCGGTCCCTATAATTGCCTAAGAGCTATTTTGCAATGGAGCATAGGCATCATTTATGGCGATGGGCTTCAGGACTACTCGTGCTAGACGTGATCATCTTTGGATGGAATGTTCTCCTAAAAGTCGTCAGTTAACCCTACATATAATTGAACACAAAATGAAAGATGATGTCATAATTAAGCTTTAATTTGATGCAGGGGCGTAAATCCCTGGGGGGGGGGGGGGTATATATATCTCTCTCCCCTCCCCCACCTTTTGACCAGGGGGATGGGCTATTGAATCATCCCCCCCCCCCCCACTTTTCAGTGTTGAGAAAAAAAATGTGGATTTCGATGTATTTGTCGAACATCCCAACAACCAAAATGTATTCAATAGCACTGAAAAGTGGAGAAACAAACTAAAAAAGAACCCCCCCCCCAGTGTAATGTGGTGTCCAGCCCCCCCCCCCCCCCTGTTTTGGTGTAAGCGCAATGTAAGCATGAGTATACATATTGATATCATGAAGAGCCCCCCCCCCCCAGTGTAATATAGCCAAGGAGTTAAACTGTTGAAATCCAGAATCCATCAAAGTCCCCCAACTGCTCAATATGGAGGTATCCTAAATCCATCAAAATCCTGCCATACCGCTAGGCTTATTGTCCTGAATCCATCATAATCCCCCAATTTGTTCAATATGGAGGTATCCTGAATCTGCCGAAACACTCCAAAACAGGGGTGTGGATTTTGATGAATTCAGGTACCGGTACGTTAGGGTTCGTGTACATGTAAATGCTCAATGCTCAGCCGGATTTCTACAGAACTACAGGTGTAACCAATGATAATTCTCCCTTTTCTTCTTCTTCTTTTCTCCAGTGTACAGGTCCTTCAATGCAGCCAACCATTGAAAATAACGACATAGTCCTCACTGAACACATCAGTACTAAATTCTTCAACAGGGTGGACAAGTAAGTTGTGGCGCATCCAAGATTCAGATCTCTGCTGATACCTGTTAGTTGATGTTATACAAATATTGAGTGGCTCAGAGTGGAATGGGAGGAATAGGCCTATACCGCAAGGCAAAATCTGGACTTGAAGTCCAGATTTTACCGAGTGATAATATTCCTCCCATTTCACAATTTAAAGCCACTCAATATTTGTTTTGTATAACTGACATATATATAGATCCGTGTCATTTGATTTGCAGTTAAAATGAACTTCTATTTTAATACAAATTGGTGAGAAATGTATTTCTCTCTTCCAAACGACCCCTTTACGAAATGTTTGAACCCAACTCTGCAGCTACTGGCTCTTGGGAGCAATACGTGCTACGCGCAAAGCTAATGCGCACACCAGCATTCATTTGCACACAAATACTGCGCCATGGAACAACGATGATCCTAACTGTTGAGGAGTAAATCCCATTCACCATGGGCAAATGGGGCTTTTTGAGGCCCGGCGTGAATGGGAGCAATAACGAATGTCACGTGATGTGAGTTCCACCAATCAAAATTGGATCTGTGGTTATATAATTATACATGTATACATTTGTACATTGTACCTCATACATATTCATGAGTGAGAGCCTTATTCTTAGTGGTCCATTCACCGTCAGGTGTCAGCCGCTAGTTTAGCTATTTGTCAAGCATACACTCGAGGATTCATCACAGGGTGACTGCGCATGCGCAGTTGACTATGCATGCGCAGTTGACTACGCATGCGCAGTTGACTACGCATGCGCTTTAACCATTTCCTTACCATGGGCGAGTTTTGTTGACAAGAAGAACCCCCCTGCTGGTTCCCATGAGCGACTTTAGTCGACCAGGAAACCACACACAAACCACACTCAACACAGATATATTCACTACTTTTCAGAAAGGCGGCATGTTGATATGTTTGGCCGCCCATACATCAACCATATACCAGCTGAAAGAGTGTTTTCGGATCGTTCTAATGGTGTAGTTTATTCGTAGTGTTGCCATTACAAAAAAATTGAGGTATGGAGTGCCATTCGGTCATGTGGTGAAATGGCTTGCAGTTTGATAAATGGAACCAGATGAACAAACAGGCATAACTTTCTTATGTTTACACATATGGACTTCATTTTTACATCAGATAAAAGAGTAAGGTTCAAGGAACAAACTTTACACACAACACCTATGATTTAAATCACTCCTTGGCAGTGAAAATCTGGGTTGAAAAACTGAAAAACTTGTGGTCATTTTGTTCACGCTCTAGTGATTTCCGCATGACTGAGCAAACAATTTGGTCCTGGGGAGAGCCAAGTCAATAAACAATGTGGTAATGAAAGGGTTAAAGCAATCGTAGAACTAGCGCAAGGGGTAGTGGGCACGCGCGAACATCGCCCTAGCTGCATGTAAAGATTGTTGCACATGCACAATAACAATTTGCTGAGATAACTGATGCGTAACGCAATGACATTGTGGTGAATATGTATGAGGTACAAATGTATATCCTGTGCAGTGCCGTGGCTTCGTGGTCTGGAACATTGAATTCATGGTTTGTGGGTAATTCTGCCGGTTGTGGGTTCGAGTCCAGCCTGGGGTTACAGTGTGTGTGCCCTTGGGCAAGACACTTTGTCATGCATTGCTTCTCCCCACCCAGGAGTAAATGGGTACCTGTAAATGGGTACGGCAGAGATGGTTATTGTGATGCTTTGCGCCGAAATGGCAGCATCGAGCTGTACTTGTATACTCCCCAGAGAGTTGAGATTGTCTTTGGAATGTTTCATTGGCCCAGTGAGCAGGGTTAACTAACCCCCTAGGCCCCTGTTGCTTATAACCATCCTCAATCCTCCAAAATCCTCCAAAATTTTTCAACTCCGCCTAAATTTTTCAAAATTGTCAGACAGTCCTGCCTCAAAATTCATTCATCTTCAATCCTCCAAAATCCTCCTCATCCCAAAACTTTGCACTCGTGTTTAAATGAAGGATAACCAACGCCAAATCCTTCAAAATCATCAGACAGTCCTGCCTCAAAATGCATTCATCCTCAATTCTCCAAAATCCTCTTGTGCTTCATTCACCATTCATCCTCAATCCTCCAGAATCCTCATGTGCTTCAATCACCATTCATCCTCAATCCTCCAGAATCCTCATTTGATTCAATCACCATTCATCCTCAATCCTCTAGAATCCTCCAAAACCGCCAGGAGGATTTTGGAGAAGTGAGGTGGGTTAGGGTTAATAATGATGTAGCGCCTAGGGTACCAATGCAGTTGGATATGTGTGCTTTATTTTCCTGTTTATTGTACCCAATAAGGAGACATTTTTCCATCATAAGTTATACCTTAGGGAGACACCGGACATTAGGGAGACATTTCAATGTCTCCCTAATGTCACAACTCCTAGTTAGAGGCAACATTTTACTGTCACAGATAGGCTACACGTACCGGTAGTGGTCCAAAACATAATATGTACCAAAATGTGTGGGGGTAAGGGTCATTAACCCTTACCCTACTTGACCCTCCAATGCATGCCAATATGTGCCTCAAGAAAATCTCCTATGTTTTTTGCATGGCCCTCCAATATCTGCCATGTCATTTCAAGGGTAACTGGACAGGCATTCCAATACATGTCACAGAGAACAATGAGAGTCCTCTGATAACAAAGTGAGTGCCCCCAGCTGGTCAGTATCAGGCACCCTCCAGGGCCTCCAACTCCTGCCAATTGGAGCCTTCACTGCTACATAGAAGTATCCTCCAATAAACTGCAGCTGGAGGGCATTGGCATAACCAACTGACATGCAGTAAACTACCCTCAGAGAGTAAGGGTTAAAGTTAGAAAAAAAATTGTGCACACGCCTATTTGGATATCTCCTTAACCCTAACCGAACTCAACCCATCAAAGTTCAACAGCAGGTTTTGTTTAAATCTGTTGGGGTAGGTACAGTACCCCTAAACTGATGGTCTTTTACACTGGGGTTGGCATACCTCCAGAAACTAAGTCCAACAGTGTGCGTGTACAGTTTCCCATGTTGGTGTTGGAATTTGCCAGAATGGGTTTGGTTCTTAGTAAATTAGGCTGGGGAGTTAGGGTTAAGGTATCATTTTCCGTAATTATTATTATTTTTAAACAAATATAACTTTGTGTATTTTGGGTGGATACATGTAGTGGAAATACACGTAAGCTCCCCTCAGTATTGGAGATACCATGGGGGAAGGGGAATAGGCTTACGGTGTGCATTGACTATCTACATGTACCTTCAAACCTTGTTATATTTGTATATTATCCTTCTTATGTCAGGGGTGATGTGGTTGTCTTGAGGTCACCCATGGATCCCACACAGTTCCTGTGCAAGCGAGTTGTGGGCATGGAGTTTGACGAGGTACCAGGCAACCGATGGAAGTTCTTACGCACAAAAAACGTGAGTTAAACTCCTAGCCTGGACTGAGCTTGCAACAGCGACCACAAAACATAACCTCCTGCTTACTAATTTGCTCTAGTATTAAGCAGGAGGTCGTGGGTTCGAGTCCCACCCGAGTAATTCTGTTTCTTATGAACAGTTTGGTTGTGGTACCCGCTGCTACATGTGTATCAGATTCCAACCAGCCAGCCGACCCTGGCAAGTTCGGTGGTTGAGTGGTAAGTCGTCTGCACTAGTCAGCATAGCCTTGGTCAATGCTCTCGTCGTTATTCGTCCCGTACGCGGTCTATCATCGGCATATATCCTCACGCGCTATGCACATGCATGTAAAAATACAGCGCGAACAGCGACCTCATGCGGCCACTATAATTTTTTATGCAAAACAGTTGGGGACGATCGAGAGCCTTGGTTCAATCGTCGGCAAAAGCTTATGTTTTTCTTTATTTTGCGCTGGATTTCTAGCGCACGACCTCGTATGCGAATACAGATAATGTAGGCGGGGCTAATATGTGGAGTGTCCAATCACACCTTGGTAAATCCAGACGTCATCAAATTATTTGCAGCTATTCGCCTTTTGCGGACGTGACAGGAACCACAGTTTTTGTGCTTTGGTGCCGTGTGCAGAGACACACAACGTGTACGTGTATGGATTATGTACGGTGCCACGTTTCACTATGCAAGTTTCCACGCAACGATCGACCAATAAGAAAACGACATTTATGGTCAGCTAAGGCTATTAACATAATGAGCACCACCCCCAAAACCTCACATGGACGATTGAACCAAGGCTCGAGATCGTCCTCAACTGATTTGCATATAAAAATAGTGGCCGCGTGAGGTCGCTGTTCGCGCTGTATTTTTACATGCATGTGAATTGCGCGTGAGGATATATGCCGACGATTGACCGCGTACGGGATGAATAACGACGAGAGCATTGACCAAGGCTATAGTCAGCAGGAAGTCATGGATGCGAGTCCCACCCGAAAAGTTTGTGAATTTTTGTGTCACAATCACTTGAGACAATGCAGACTATACAGCTCATACATGTCATAGTAGACTACACAGTACGTTCCAAAAAACAGTGTCCGTCTGACAATTTTTGAAATAACTACAAAACCATGTGGTCAATTTTGAAAAATTTTGGTTGTACAGATACTCCTAAGCTTTGGCCTCAACCTCTGAGAGTTTCATTTAATTTCAGTCACGCATCACTGCACAGTTGTCAATTGATCACAGCATTTTTGGACCCTGTGGTCATGTTCCTTGCCTTATTCAATTTCAGTAAAAGCTGTGTAAAATCTTTCATGTTGTGAAAAGAACTGCAGTTGGGATTGGAATCATGTGCCTGGCTATCGGTCATCATGGCAAGACCTCAGTTTAATGCTCAAGGGCAAATGATTCCAATCCCAAACCACATCAGCCTTTTTTTTTTCTCAACATGCAGGATTTTAAGCAGTTTACTGAAATTGATTCAAGCATGGAACTTGGTCACAGTGTCAAAAAAGTTGTTGTGCTCAATTGACAATTTTGCAGTGATGCGTGACTCAAATTTAATGAAATACATAGGGGTTGAGGCCAAGGCTTAGGAGTATCTGCACAACCAAACTATTTCAAAATTGACGTCATGGTTTTGAAGTTATTTTAAAAACAGTCAGACTGACACTTTTTTGGGGACATACTGTAGAAAAAAAAACATGTTTAAGGCCCCCCCAAAAAAATAAGTCGGTCTCTGGTCAGCGCGCGCGTCAATTTTAATCATGCGCGTCGATCTTGTTTTTTTCCAAAATGTTCCGCGGTAGCTCCAACAGCGCCCTCTATTGCCGCACCTCCTCAATTTTTTTTACCAAAGAGCACCAAGGAATGGGAAATTGCACCAAGGCAAATGATCGAGAGCACCAAGGCAAATTATGGAGGACACCAATGTACATGAGGACACCAAAAAAGCAAAATAGTAACCCACCTTGTCTGTACAATCCAAGCTTGAAGAAAAAAAAGCAAAAAAAAAAAGCCGCGTCCCCGCGTCAATTCCGGAACTTTAGTCTGACCAGAGACCGAATATTTTTTTTTTGGCCTAATAGAACAACATAGCCCCCCTATAGAATATTTTTTTTAACAGCTGAAATTGGGTTCATTCATGAAATAGTAGTACTTAATATCTGAAAACTCAAAATTACTGGACAACATCTGAAAACTATCGGAAAACACAGAAAAACCACTGCAAAAACACCGGAAAACACTCACATTCAGAAAACACCAGAAAACACTAGTTTACCAGGAAAACTACCGGAAACTATTTACTTACCGGAAACTATGATAAAGCACATGTACTGTTTTCCAGAATTTATCAGGAAAAAAAACACCAGGAAATGGTATTATTTCATGAAAACGCAAGTCAACACAGTGAAAAAAATCCACAAAACACCTAAATGGGTCATTCTGTGTCAATTTCAACACAATTTGTCACCCGACCCTCACAGATTCAAGTTGAAATGGTATTTTGGTGTGATGAGTGGCCTAGTTGAGAAACCCCCAGAACTGGTTTTGTTTTCTTTGTAATTTGGGTCATTAGTTTTTGAGATACGAGTCAACAAACTTTGGTCTAATTTGCATGATCTCCAAGCTTTTACTTGTATATCTCCAAAAGCACAGCATCTACAACGTCAAGTTGTACATCATATTAAAGGCCTCAATTTCATAAATTAACACCGTCATTGTAGAATGAAGCACAGCGATTTTTTTACAGAATACTTTACATTTTAAACTGTGTTTACTAAGGGAATAAATGTGTGCTCTGGAGGTTTTTATCACTCTGTTTAAGACCACTTAGAGTCTGGGTGCTGATAATTACCCGAGCCGGAGGCGAGGGTAATTATCAGCACCCAGAATCTAAGTGGTCTTAAACAGAGTGATAAATACCGACTGAGCACATATTTATTCCCATTCATAAATACCTTTTTGGTAAAAAATATCAAATAATTCGTTCAAAAAATACCGATTTGTTCAACAAGTTCACTTCATGCTTTTTGAAACATCCCTCAAGCATAATAATGGAGTGTTCAGCTGGCGAGTAAGATGTAAACAGCCCTTTTGTGGAGATTGACGCGCGCGTGGCATGTTCTGAGCGATGTCGCGCAGAACGCACCTGGCGTTTTGAATTTAGAACTATAAAATTCTGACTCGCTGGTAGTGTTGCGCATGCCTACGTGAGGATTGTGAACGTTCAACCAATGAAACGGTAAGAGGCACTGGATTTTTAGGGGTCTAGCCATGTCTTTATCATCCGTTTAAGACCGGCCACGTGACAGGCTCTCGACCAATAGGAATGGCTAAACTGTCTGAGGTATTTATGAATCATAATTTGAGCATCGGAAATCAGATTGTTGTACCCGACACGTCAAAATGCGACAAATTTTTGTTGATTCAAGCATTTTGGTTTCAAATTTTGTTGTCCCATGATATCCTCATCAAGAATGTGATAAAGCCCCAAACAAGTTTTACAGTTTTGTTCTGCATTTTTTATGAACTGGCTCGTGGATTTTCCTAATATGGTCGTGGATACGCCGTGGAATTGTATTGTCATGAAAGTGCAGGAAGCGGTGTTTTTATCTGCAGCACACATCGTCAATGGATCATGATTATTCGGCTAGTTCGATGTTTATTCCTAAGAAAATAACAATGGCGTCACACCATTGCTATCACTCAGTCATGCATTGTACATTAAAGCATTTCAAAGAACGGCTTTCATCGAGCTGCCACATGGGCCTAGTGGATAGTGGAGTGAACTATGGATTGCAAGATCTGTGGTTCGAGCCCATGCCCATTTTCATGAAATATATTTGCTGGTTGGGATACATTTGTAGGTTCAATAAAAGAGAAAACACTACGAGAACCTACATGTAAGTGTCTTCCATCCCCACAGAGTGATAAATATTCATGTTAGGGCGTGTGATGTGATTGGTTAAAATACGATGCGTCACGTATGCTGCAATTAGAAAAATACGCTTGCAGGATTATTAGTCTTGATGCAAGTCTTGATTCGAATGTTATTCTGATACCACTGGTCCCTGACACAAGCCTCTGCAGTGGTAGACATGGTGGAGGTCCCCATCAAAAAATGAATGAACCCCAGTCTTGGGAACTTCGGCAATGTTACGTGGGAAATTCCTTGTCTGGTTCCTGGACCCCATTGTCCTTTGGACTTCAAAAATGGGGTCCGGTAACTAGCGGTGAATCTGGCATATATGTTCACTATATGAATGGCGTGCGTAGGTCTGAAACCAGCCTCGCCTCGTGAATTCTACCGTAAATCACAACGGTAATGTTTGTGCGCGACCAGCCTGTTGCAAAATGGCAATAGGCCTGGCCACAAATGTGCAATTTTGGAGGTAATGAGCTTCGCTTTTTGTTGAAATTGAAAGTCTCTGGCAAATATCAGTAGAGAGAGAAATATTGCTGTTCCATATTTACAACCTATGGAGTTGAATTGCTTGAAAGTTGCTTTCATGGAGACACTGGTGATTGTGTGTACTTTTTGTGGTAAGTCAAGCGTGAGTTTCTTGATAATCCTGGGTTCAGTCACCGGCTTCCATGCGCAAAAGTTGAACAGCGATTGAAAAAAACAAAAACAATTGTGATGCAGAGGCGATCCAATCAAAGGCTTTAAATGGGAGCTAGTTACCGTCCCCATATCTTTAGGGGGATCCGGGAAACAGTCTAGGAAATTCCGTGCACTTGTGTGCATTAGCTTCAATACAGCACGCATGAGATATGCGTGGAATATTGTGGGTACTGAATGTGATTCATATTATTGATAACCACCTGTACCACCCTAACCCCTTTAGGGTGATTTACTAGGAACCTTCCTCATCCTTTCAAATCCCAACACCATTGTGGTAAACTGTGCACATAAACAGTTGGACTCTGTTTATGTGTTGTATGTCCAATCCCACCCAAAGCATCAGTTGACTAGTGCAGTACTCATCCTAACAGATTTCCAACAGACCCTGCTGTTGGAGTGGGCGGGGATCGTTGGGGATGAAGTACATGTATTATTATTTTTCCATTTATCCTTTGTTGTTCAAGGTTCCCAAAGGCCATATATGGATAGAGGGCGACAACTCAAGCAATTCGACAGATTCTAGAGAGTTTGGTCCCGTTCCGCTTGCAATGGTCAGAGGTCGAGCTGTCTTGAGGGTGAGTTTCATCGTTCGTCCAGATTTTGCCATTTTTTTTTTTTATTAACCGCTTCAAAGATGCTGTTGACAAACTTTGTTTGCTTACATCTTGAGCCGTAGCAATTGTTGGCCCTGTCTATACATGTACCACTGATCCAGACTGGTACCGGGAGTGCATAAAAACGTGCAAAATTACTACTGACGTTTTTTACTCACCATTTGGTTAATTAATGCCCACACAACACATACATCAAAATGCTATAGTTACAAGCATGTCACCAGCGAAATTTGAGACCTTAAATCCAATTTTAAGGCAGGTTTTTGGCAGTTCAAAAACCATCCACGTCATTCTCCATGATCTGGATCCGTGCATGTGATTCACAAGGTATTCTGGGTAGATGCACTTAGTGCCTTGCAGCTTACTTGTTTTTTAATCGATGGCCAAAAGAACATAGCGCCCTCTGTTAAAACATTAAACATTCTGTATTCACTTGGATCAACAAGAGGGCGCTGTTTTGTCTACACGGTGAAAATGTTATAGCTGAGGAGTCTTTTTGCACAATGCATTGCAGTCCACATCAACATGATGTCTCACGTTTGGATTTCGATAACTCTCTGTAAAATTAGAATTAAAAGCTGAATTTTTGGTAAGGCAATGCTCACAACAGCAACTTTGCAAGGCAAAAGTTTCAGCGATTTTTGAAGAAACTGTAGTGAGTAAGAAGCTTGCACATTTGATTCAGACTGGTTTTATTATGCAGCACAAACTTTTTCACAATATGGATGCCTTAAGTTTTGGGACTCTCGTACACAGTATTGAGAGTCCCAAATTTTCGGACTACCACTGATCTAAAGACTGGATAACATGCAGTAAGCTGCAAAAGAAAGCCATTTGAAGCCACGTAGGCAAGAGCGGCTGGTGATCTATAAAAGACAAGTTGCCAACAAGTTGTGATTCTTTTTTGTAGCATCCTGGTTCACCTGGTTAACCATTTGTCCACCAGCACTGACCACGCTGCACAATTTCTGAAATGTCGCGATTTACCTTTTGAATGCCGCAGTTAACTTTTTGGGACGTTTGGAAATATAATTTAACAATGGAAATTTGTCCTTGTTTAGAACATCATGATATGTGTACTTGAACAAAATGCACGTCAAAGCTTGATGCAGGGCCTGCAGTATATACGCGTAGAACGTTTGTATATCAAACTGGTCAAAATGCAAATTCATCTACATCATATCAAATCCTTTGTGGTCAAAAGGACCCCATGTAAACTGGCCAAAACGCACAGCTAGATGACCTTGGACACATAGAGATAAGAGCTCCCGGGCTCTGTGTATATACAGTAGCGCTGCCTAGCACGTGTACAATAAACAGACCCTACGCGCTGAGCCATTGAGCAACGGCAAATTTTATTGGAGTTTAGATGTACAATTCTTTAGTAAATGAATACACGCGAGCCTAAACCTTAACCAATCACAATAAGGGTTATATTGTTGGAAAGCTGACGAGTCGAAGAAAAATGACTCGAGAGATCTAAGCTCCCAGGTGGCGCTATTTAACGTTATGATGATGTTAATGGACCAGTTCTTGGCTGAACGCGTGGTTTACACACAAAACAGGCAGATTTTTGACTGAAAATGCAATGTTTAACATCAATTCGCGAGTGAAACTGAGCGTTTTTTTTCAGTTTTTCTTTCATTTTCTGAAAGAGTATATTGTTAGGGTCACACTGTAGTGAGATCAAAGGTATACCCTGTCGAATAATGAAGTGGTGGCGACAGATGTGAAAAAAGGCCTGTTTTTAATGATTTTTTCGCCACGTTCTCTCATAGAGGTTGCACATAAAAACCGGCCCGGTGGGTTAGTTCCCCAAAGGAATTCATATGGTTTGTGACTGATGTGTGGGCATCCGCTATCCAGTCTTTATATGTGACGCGATCAAGCTGCATGAGTCGTTTGTCGACCCTGGTAAAAAAAAAACATGTTATTACGGATTTGAAAAGAGCACAATCTCAGCATTACTGATGGGAAAACCGCACGCTGATACCATCTTTAGTTAAAAAGTAATGGAAGTCGGAACACCAAGCAATGTGTTTCAGTGATGGGATGAAGTGGCCCTATTTTGGCCTGTATCTCCAAATAAAAATTCCTGACAAACGACTCATCTAGCTTGATCGCATTAGAGATCAGTACGGTCTGTACGTATTTCAAGCAATGCAAGTGATCCCATATGCCGTTTTAATTTACTAAACTGCTTCAGTAAATGAGATTTTTCCACAGTTTGTACCCAGAAATTGGTGTTGATACATTCCCTAAAAAAAAAAAAATCTTGTGGGACTAATTTGCTCCATCCTAAATTATTCCTGCATTCCAGAATTTCAAACGTGCTGATTACACTTTCTTTGAAGTTTGTTTTTTTCAAAATGTTTCAATGACAGGTATGGCCGTGGGAACGTAGAGGCTACCTAGCGCCCCAGCCTGCCAGTAGGTGACCCTTACCCTGGTAGGTACGGTAGAGTCTTCCGTGACCTTTCAACTTTGACCTTTGACACTGTCCTCAGGGAAGTGTTTGTATGCCCTTGTGAACTCCAAAGTGACCTCTCATTTGTGCAAACAAATCTTAACCCACACTTGTGGGCTTTCTGGCTACATGGTTACTGTTTAAACACATTTTTTAACACTTAACTGTACCCACTTTTTTTCAAATGATTGGATAGACAACTTGTATAGGTTCGTGGGTGTCTGTGACATGTTTTAGGTACAGGACGAAAGCCTGTTATTATTATTGTGAAGGATAAATTGTATTAAAAAGTAAATAGAAACTAGAAATGTGTTTGTGGACAAACACTTGCTGTTTCGGCTGACGGCGCTTTAGTTTTCATTTTCATACATGTACGTACAAATTTTCAACCCAATCTGACTTGCTCTTCAGAAGATAATTTTTTTGATTTTTCAAAATTTTCAGAAAATTTTCAGACAGTCCTGCCTCAAAATGCATTCATCCTCAATCCTTCAAAATCCTCCTCATCCAAAAATGTTCAAATGAAGGGTACCCAGCCCCCCAATCCTTCAAAATCGTCAGACAGTCCTGCCTCAAAATACCATTCAGCCTCAATCCTCCAAAATCCTTTTCTGAAAAAATACCATTCAGCCTCAATCCTCCAAAATCCTTTTCAGAAAAAATACCATTCAGCCTCAATCCTCAAAAATCCTTATTTAAAAAAAATACCATTCAGCCTCAATCCTCCAAAATCCTCCAAAACCACAAAGAGGATTTTGGAGGATTGAGGAGGGTTAGGGTTAATGTGACCTAACTTGACACCTGATGACCTCATCATTTGGCCGCAGGTGCGGGTGATGGTTTATGTGTACACAGTGTGAAGTCGATCTCATTACTGTTGGAAATAGCCTAATACAACCTGGAGACAAAATATACCTTTAATGTGACGTAGCTTGACACCTGAAAAGGAGAAAGAAAACAATTCTGAAGGAAAACAAGAGCTGTTTCTGAAAGTTTTCTGAGCCAGCTAATAACTTTGGTTTTAGGCCACAAAAAAAAAGTCTCCGGTTTCTGGTATGGAGCTTGCCCCAAAAGTGGTGCGGCGACGCGGTTTTTTTTTTTTTTTTACCTGTTTTTTTTTTTTTTTTTGGCTTCAAATGTCGGCTAATGACTGCAAATGGTGCCCGACTAAACTTAGTGCAAATATATGGGAGTCCAGAGAGGCCACATAAAGCTTATTCTCGATCATAACCCCATCTAAAAACACGTTAAAATTGTGCAGCAGCAGGATTCCAGTCAAACCAGTGAGTTTGGCGGTTTTGAGACATCATCTTGTATTGAAAAAAAACCTTTTTCATTTTGCCGACGCGCATGGCTACGGTGACGCGCGCGCATACCAGAAACCGGAGACCATTTTTTTTTGGCCTTGGTCAAATGACAGGCTAAATGCACAATTTTATCACTATTTTCTCCCCTGTCGCAGAAATATTATCTTTAAAATATTAATTTACTGAAGATACATGTATATACATTTTGTGTTTGAATTTAAATATAAATGTCACTTATAAATTGTTATTTATTGCTCTAACTTGCTCTCATACTATGCCAAAAAACCTAAACATGTCTTCGACACTTGACTAAACATGTAAAAAAAGTGGGTAAAAATGGTTTAAACTATGAGCACCATTTTTACTAGTGTATTCATCTCCTCTGTAATACATGTAGAATTCCAATATCTGAACCTTCCTGGTCCCCCCCCCCCCCTTCACCTTACTACCCGCTTATGCCATCCAGTTTTCTAATTGGATACTTTTGAGATATTGGTGGCAGCAAACACGTCAGTCCTTTTCAGTTGTTTGCATCTAAGGCCAAGTTCGCGCAAGGACTATAGTTGACCAATGGTTAACTAACGTTTGCCCGAACTCTGTCTAGTCACCGGTGGTTGACTACGCTAGTCGACTATTTGGAACCAGCCTACTGGGGCTGGTTGCTTCGCTGGTAACCAATAGCCACGCGCATTCATAACACTAGCAGAGAACCAGGATCCAGAAGTTTTGCGATGACATTTTGACCAGCGTTTGACTAGAGACGTTCGCATGTTGCTATCAGTACGCAGGCGTAAGGTACGTCACAAATCAATCACTAGTCGACTTATGGTCCTTGCCTGAACTTTGCCTAAAGTGCACATGCTCAATATGAAGCCATCAAAGGAAAAAGGACCTGGGTGTTTGCTGCCACCAATGTCTCCTACGTCTCCAATTATGACTTATTTATTGCGTTTATGTAGGAAATTAACAATTTTCCATCTGGTTAAATGTTGAGGGTACTTTTCTCTGTAGGGATGATTTTCCCACAAATCAGGCATGCAACTTTTCCTCGGATCAGTTGATTTCCTCTTTTGTTTTCCTTTTTTCCCCCTTCATTTTCCAAGTGTGCTGTTCAAAATAGAAAAACATCCACAAAGTCTTGGAAAGATTTCAATTTCCCTTTCTTTTTTGGGTGACTTCACCAGTCGCATTCCTGACAAATAAAGATGAGGCAACATTTAGTCTGGTTCCCAGACCAAAAGATTCCGACTATTCCTGATGAATCTTAGGTCCGGTAGCCTCCTGTAATACAATGTATTACATTTTACGTCACGTGACTAAAACGGGAGGAATTCCTCCTTTTTCTTAAAATTTCTGAAGTTTGCCGAAGTCGTTTCGTCGACAATCGGATAGCGCCCGAGTATTTCCGAGTATATAATATAGGTTTAATTAACTGCTAATTGCTTATTAATTTGATTTTAAATGAGTTGATAATTAATATTCATTGTTTTCTTTTAGAAAACTTGAAATTCAACGACGATTTTGTGCATCAAATATACTCGGATCGTACGGGCGAACTTTTTTGCTGTGTCGTGTACAATTTTGAATTTGACGACCGTTACCGAGATTTTCCAAAACTCGGTGTTCATTCGGCTCCGCCTGCTAACAGTGCTACTTGGTTCCCTAATTTTGAAGATTCCAGATCAACGTTACTCAATGTTATCTTACAAAAACATCAAACTGTATTATCATAACTGTATGATATTACGAAGCAAGTGATTTATTTAAAGATTTGATCAGAACATTAAAAGCTACAAGTGATAAAGCGAAATCGGAAACGAAGCCGCGCTTTGAAAAAGGGCCATTAATGTCGTCATGTTTATTTTTAGCCACGGAGGCTGCCTGACCTACAATTTAAGACGTGAGCGTCGGGAATAATTGTCAGGTCTGGGAACCAGACTCGGCAACATTCTCATTAAGAGGCAAGCCTCTCGCAGTGGGTAATTTATCAGGAAAAGCACAAATATTAAAAGAGATAAATAGATGTTTCAAAACTATTTTTTTTCTAAGTAACATCAGGGTTTTTGTTCCATGTTTGGTATAAATAAGATGTGTTTTTGGAACATTTTGTAATTTGCAGTTTAACTTGATTCAATATTTCCATACTTACAGAATGAAGATATACAGTGGAACATATATTTCTTGTAAACAAACAGAATGCATTAAGTAAAAGTACGGTGAGTATTGAAGAGATTTATTATTAAATTGTATTTTTCACCTCACTTTTTCTTGATTTTACTGTTCAAAGTAATAAATTGAACTTTTTATCAGATTGTTTTAATCCATTGTCTCTAAGTCATTTTCAATTAATACTGTGTATTTGTTTGTTTGATAATTTTTTTAAAGAATAAAGATGGGACTCTCCGTTTAATTTTGTAAACGTTTAGCAAATCTATTCTGCACCATTTAAACGTTTAAATGTTTAGCCACTTCACAAAGGCTGCCACCTGCACCAGTTTATGTTTGCATTCGAGCATGTTAGTATACATGAATATACATGTAGGTGCACAAAAAGCAAAGTGCATCATCGACCCTGATCTACATAAAATGATCGTTCATAATGGACTGTCCTTTTGCTTTGGAAATAAAATGGGTTTAACCAGTTGGCGCTGGGATTATTTTGACAAAAACGGACCTCATGCCAGGCGGGTTGATTCCATCACGGTCGGGCAGCACACTCATATTTCCGCCTAGCCTCGCTCGCTGCTGGCCGGTTGCTGATGGATATTTCCGGCCTTCGAGTCGTTTCCTGCGTGTTTGTCCGTCATCCGTTCCAAATACCGCAAAACCGTTGCGGTAATATGTATGCGCCGCATCCGGCGTGAACTGGTTAAAGACATCCTTTATTTAGGTAAACATATCAATGTCGCTTCAATTAGGTGGGTTTCGTTTGAACGTTTTGGAAAATGTAAATGTGTAAATGTCACATCCTTGGTTAAACCTTACACAAGTTTCTGTTCGACAAGTTGCAGCACACCTCATACCCACATGCACTTTCTTGTTTGGCATTTATGCATCACATCATGATCAAAACTTCCATGAATGTCATCATCATTCTATCATCTTTCCATTTCTTTTGAATATAGTATGAACAGTTCTTTGATTCAAGAGTTCAATCAGTTTATTTGTTTATGCATGATGTTTCTGTTGGACTTTACCGTTTGCACCAATCATCACCACTTTTTGCTGGTCCCAGAGAGCCAGCCTAGTTTCCACTTTGTACCTATCTCACTGACTGACTGACTGACTGACTCCCCGATTGACTGTCACTTGGTTGTAGACTGGTCTTGATGATCTGGCCCTCTGGCTAGGATGCAACCTCAATCCTGCAAAATCCTCCACTTGCCACCAAGAAAAAAATTGGATTCAGCCTCAATCCTCCACATCCGTTTTTTCTTGAATTTAGTCTGTGGAGGGTGACCACTGTCTCAATCCTCCAAAATCCTCTGCCAATTACTGCTATGGTTTGAGGAAGAGCGAATGGCGTTTAGAAGCAGTGCGGATGAAATACGAGAAAAACACAGGGCTGATTTATGCATGGCTGAACATAACCAATGCAGGTGTATATGGCCTACTGGCTTGACGTAATGCATCCTCCACAAAAAAAAGCGATACATCTTTGCCATTTAATCCTCAATCCTCTAAAATTATCCAAAACCGGAAGGATGATTTTGGAGGATTCAGGAGGGTTAGGGTTAAAGGGAATATACAACATTTGCAAACATCGAAAAATAAAACTACCAAGTTTTTACGAAATACCTTACTAGGATGTTGGTTAATGACAGTCTCAAGCATCTTGTAAAATTATGGCACCTGGTGTGAAGTCATTTTCAAGAAAATGGTATTTTTGTATACATTTCCAACGGTGGTCGCCCGACCAGCGTTGGAAAAACCTAACTATTTTTCAACTACTGCTCCAAATTGACCATTTTTTTTTCAGTCCAAATTTTGTTTGCTATTGGTTACATGTTCATGAACGGGTGCAGGCCAGCTAGACTGGTTCCATTGCCTTACAAGTTTCCATCATCTATAAATTGATCCATTTTATCTTTTGTGGAGTCAGGGAACCAGACTACTTGAACATATTTG